GTTCGCCCCCCCCCCCCCCCCCCGGGCTCTGTGCCAGGGCCCCCGGCGGGCGGGGGTGACGCTGTTGCGGCCTGGGGCTGAGCTGGAGGCACTTGGGGAGGCCAAGCCTCTCCCTTGTTGAGTGCCTCGCTTCGTGTAATTCTGTGGTTTAGCAAAAATGACTCAATACCGATTTGGCATGGGTTTATATGTAGGCAGGCATAAGCTGACCTGATAAGGGTTTGTGCAATTTTTAGATGAACCCAGCTGCAGTCATCTAAATCGTTGAGCAATTCTCTGAGAATCCTTTGTGTTAGCTTTGTGCAAATATTGGGTCTGGGATTTTTGGAGACCTCTATCAGTAAGCAGCTGCTTAGGTCAAGGGATGTTGCTTTAATACAAACACTTCTCAGTTAAACAGGCTTAAACAGCAAGGCAAACTGTGTAAGTGTGGAATTGCAATATGGGGCGGGGGGGCGGTTTGTGTAAACTGGATTGGCTACTAAAAATAATATTGCAAAGCCAACGCAGAAGAAAACGATGCAGATGTGTGTAACAGGAGAAACTCCTGTAGGAGCTGCAATTAAATATGACATCTTGGAAGGACCGTAGCAGAAATATCTCTGCAGGTACGCTATGCAAAATCTCCCCTGCTACTTCTGTTGCTATGCTTCTGTCACTGGCAGCTCAGACTAGGAATAACACTTAGAATGAAGCCCGTCTCTACTGACCTTGTGTTACATTTGAGTAACTAGAATTAGAAAGGAAAAAGGTCATTTGTTTGGAGCACTGGCCTCCTGACCCAGTTGCCGGTGAAGTTTATTGGGTGTTGACTGGATTCAAAGCTGACGGTGAAGTGTGCAGGAAGTGGTAAGTACGGGGGGGGGGGTTGCCGTCTCTATTTTTTTTCCCCAAGATGGACGGCGTTGAGGGAGAGAGGAACTGACTTTGCTTTTAAGATATGATCCTTTTGGTGTGGCTGGACTTCAGCATTATTAATGTTTGCCAAACTGAAATGGTGCTATAGACCTGTTAATATACCGACATTTCTGTGTTCTGTGAAGCAGTAGCCAACAGGAGTTGGTTAGAAAAGCAGTCCTTGTAAGAGTGAGCTAGTAGGGATTTTGTTAGAGAAGTGGAGCTGCCAACTAGCTCTGCAGGTCACATTGCCATGTGAGCAGCACAAGGGTATTTTTGTGGCTAATGTACAAGCTACTGTCCAGTTCCATTTGTTAATCCTAAGGGTTGTCTTTAAGGAGACAGAGAAGAAGTAAAAACACAGAGAGGACTTTATGTGAAGAATAACCATATACACATCCATATCTCGTTCATTTCTTCTCTATTTGGCTACAATGTGGCCTGTAATGAAGCCAGTTAACATTCAGTGCTTATATTTCTAGATGACAGCACAAATGAAGAGCTATATGTTAGAAACATACCATTAACTTGATGATAATGAGTTCTAAGCTGTATGCTACTAGCTTTTGATTTCATCATCTCTGTGTGTAATGGACCTTAGGGCATTTCTGCTTTACTTTAGAGCTGATGATGTTCTTTAATTGGGTAGCTGTTATGCAACAGCAGTCTCTTCAGAAAGTACGATAAAACCAAATCACACTGTTTGGTGCTCTTCTGCTCAAATGCTGTTGTCTTAAGGGAACTTGACAGAGAATCTCTCTGTTGCCACCGATGGCATTCCAACATGCTCCCTTCAGCATCAGAGGTGATCTCCTGACTACAGGTTAGTAAGTAAGAGCTGCAGAGGTGAATCACTGTATTTTATTGTAGTTAAGAGCTAAATAGCCTTCAGGAAAGGAGTAGGTATTACTTACACCCAGACCATGCAAACTAATTCTGCTGCTTATCCTGTCTTTCTCAGACCGCCCTGGTATGCTGGACTTCAAAGGCAAAGCAAAGTGGGATGCCTGGAACGCATTGAAAGGTAAGTGTCTGCTTAAAAAATAAAAATGAATACATAAAACCACAGGGAAACTAGTCAGAAAAGCATATGTGGTTCAGCAAGAAATAAAATAGTGTTGCCTTATAAGACAAGAGTTCTAGAAGTTCAGGATGCCGTGATAATAAATTCTTACTTTTGATTACCTCTGCAAGGCAGAAGTAATCCTGAAAAATGTAGCCTGTGTGAAAGAGAATTCAGGTGCAAAATGCCCAGCTGGCCCAAGATGTTACACAAAGGAGAACTGCAGCAGCAGAAACCTAAATCTGCTTTCCAGGTCCCAGCCTAGTATGCCAGAGACTGAGCTCTCCCTCCAGTTGTTGTGTTTCTTCTAAAGCTTTCCTAACTGGAGGATGCAACTGGACTCTCTGCTCGAAATGAGGGGCCAAATGAGTGGTCTCATCTATGCAAACGGGATTTTTCTGGTGTTGTAAGGAGCCAGCGCTACATCTAAATGCAGTCTAAGTTGATTGAGTAGCTTTCCTGTAATAATTGTGAATGGCGGTGATAGAGCCAATACACTGTTTAGTTGCTATCTATGCAAATGTAACTTTGCTTCAAAACACTGTTTTCTCATGACTGCTGAACACATTTGTGTAAAACTTCAATACTAGATTCACAGGCAAGTGGCCTTCTTATCACCTTTGCTCTCTGGTAGCATGCTGCTGTGTGCTGCAGCAAGGAATTGTGACTTATATGTAAAAGGTATCTTAATCTGTAAAAGGTGTCTGACTGCTTCCTGTGTTCTGTCCCTCAGGAATGTCCAAAGAAGATGCAATGAAAGCTTACATAGAAAAAGTGGAAGAACTAAAGGGCAAATACGGCATCTGAGGACTGGATATAGCAGCCACTTGCACACCTGAAACATGCCTTATTTCTAATACTGTGGAAAACTGGTTTCTGACAATAATTTTAAATACCTAATCTATTATAGTCGGTTTTCCTCATGCCTGTAGTTCAGGGGAAGTTGTGTACCTGCCTAATGTACTGACACGTTACAAATTCCTTCTGGGAACAAAATCTGGAACTCATTAAAGTGCATTTGGTACTTTAGCTGTTGTGATGATCATCCCTTAGAGATTATTCTGAGCTCAGCCCTTAATTGCCATGATGCAGCCGTCAAGCACTTCTTTGTAAGGTGCCAGCCAGCCTCTCCAGTCCGTGTGCCACTAGAGGGGGCTCAGTAATCTGTGTTTCGTGCAATGCGGACTTGTGTCCAAACCAGCCCGGTGATGTCTGAGACTGCTTGGCCTCCTTTCTCACGTGGATGAGCGGCCACCCACAAAAGCCGAAGCACCACGTGAAGAGGCTGGGTCTGATGCTGTCTATACCAAGAACAAGGTGCTTGATACTTGTTGTCTGGGGCTTTCAGAGACTTAGTCAACAATTGCCAAACCGTCTTTCATAAAACACCTCTTGGAGATGTTATTCCCCAGCAACAATGTCAGGGTTCGGGAAAGAAGGCAAGTACTCGGCAGCTGAACACAAAACCTCCCTGTGAAAGGAAAGGTTCTGCGGGCGGCAGCAGAGTTGTTGATGCCCTTGATAGTGTACTGCTGGAAACAGAGCGCTGCTGTGGCCATGTACTGAGGCTACAGTGAGGGGTAAATCAAGCATACGTTGGCTTAACGCTTACAAGGCTGTTCAAACAGGAAGACTTACAGTGCTCATCAGCAAAAGTTTTATACAAAACACACAGTTGTGACCATCTCTAGTAGGCCTTTAGCTTTTCTGTCTGCCTAGCATAGTCTGCTAGAGTTGCTGAGGCCAGAAGGGGAGACTGCTTTTAAAATGTGGCGCTGAGCTATTCCAGCATAGACCGTGCGAGAATGAAGTCACAACCTTGTACAGGATTAAGGTGTTCTAATTCCTCCTGTACCGGTTAGTATCTGAACAGGTGAGGACTTCAAATCACACTGCCTTCAGATAAGCAAGTGAAGTATAGAAATACGTAGGGATGAAATCTGTCATTACATATCTGTCTAGATAAAGACATAGTTCTGTACTAAGTTACGCTGGCTTTGCTGTGTGTAGTATCTAACCTGTATTTTCTTATGCCACTGGGGAGAGATGGAGATAACTTTACCTTACATGCTTTCAAAAATTATAACTTCCCCCTTTGCTACTTTTAATGGGAAATGCCCTTGGAGCTACTTGTTCACCCTTTAAAATGTGTTAGGATAAGGAAGGGCTTGTTCCCTGTTCTCATAAGGAAAAAGGTTGCTTATTCCTATTCTTCCCTGTTCTTCTGGATAAGTAATGTAAGCATTTGGGTTTTTTACCTCCTGTGGTATCCTCTGTTAGTCATTTGAGATGTGTTGATTACGTTCACCTTGCAGAAGAGGGGTAAGAGCAGATGTTCAGTGTAAGAGATGATCAGAGCTCTTTGCCAGCCCTAAATTCCACAGCCAGCTCCGTCTTCACAGCTGTATTTCATGAAGCTGGTTATCCTTGGAGGATCCTGCCAACCTGCAGCAGAATGTAACTCATACTGGCAAATGCTTCCACCTCTGCTCTTGTTTGCTGGAAGCTGACGTACTGTGAGCATGCCGTGGTTTGCTAACGTGCTTTCTGTCAAAAGGGGTGTTTTCAGAATTTTTGATTGCTAAAGCAGTGCAATTGGATTCTGTCTGAAGAGTGGGCTGGGAGTAGCAAGTTCTACATCCTAGTCTTCGTTTGGCTTGATTTCCCTTGTGAGACTTCACTAATCATTACAGTGCTGCTCTCCTTTCTCATACCTGTCTGGCATTAGGAAAACATTGCTGTGTACACAGTGCTTATCCCAGAGAGGGACTGGTCCTGGCCAGGCTTTTATATGTTGCCTTGTACTTAATATTAATGCTGTTTGCCACTCTGTACAAGTGATGGAGAACTCTACCTCGAATGTCTTATTTGGATACTTCATTTTTACTGTAGTAATGCTTTCTTCCTGCTTGCAGCTTCACCTTCCTTAGGAAAGTAACATCAGTGGTCTTAGTATTTGGAGTAAGCTGAAAAATTCAAGTTGTGGAAGTAAGAGCTGTGCAGTAAGAGACCGTACAAAGGCACTAAGGTACTGATGTCTGTGCACGGCGTTCGTGATGAGAAGGAGCAACAAAAAAGTTGGCTGCACAGCCACTAACTGGGGGTACTGCCACTGCAGGGAGCGTGTTGGAAAAAGACTGAACCGAGTCGGGGGGGGCTGGGTGTCTGCCAGCAGGGTGAATGTCTGTAAATGCACGGGCTGCTGGGCTGTCTGAAAACGTTGCTGACTTACGGACCGCGTAGTGCTTGCTGGTATGGAGTATCAGACTGCTGGGCTGCATAAGTAACACTTTGGCAGTAGTGATGATAGGACAAGAGTGGCTTAAGGACATCTACAAACAGATTTGTAGGTGGAGGTAATTGCTTTTATTAAACTAATAGAGTGGTAAAAATAGACAACCGTTAAGGTATTTAGCCTTGAGATTTGAAGCCGAAGTAGCAAGCCTTGAACCAAAATATAACTTCAGAACCATTGCTTTGCCTGTAATAAGGTAGTCTTGATGGAGGAACAGATGCTTTTGATGGCTGGGCTGTGCTGCAAAACAGGGGATTGTTCTGACACCCGTTCAGGGAGTCGCTGCTATTTCCTCTTGTTAGATCAAAGCAAGGGCAGCAACATCCTGATCCTTGCAGCGCTCGCGAAGGGGAAGGGACGTGCGCTGAAACAAGCCCAGCGCGCAGGAGGTCAGAGGCCAGCTGGCACGCATGCACTCAGGTCTGGTTTGCTGAGTTTGCAGAGTGTGCAGGACGGAATCTGGACTTTGGATATGGCAATAATAAATGTTAACTTGCGTCTGCGATAAGACGGCGTTCCTTCTATTGCACTGCTACTATTAGCTCTTCAGAGAAACTAGCTGATTGGTACCCAGTGCGATTAGAGATAAGCTGTAAAGGGGATGTTGTTTTCCTTGGGGTTTTCTTTCTTGTGGGTTTTCCTTGCTCTTAACAAACATATGTGAAGGTGCAATACCCCTAAGCACAGATTTAACAAATCGGTACTGCTGTGCTGCTTAAGGGTCATAGCAGATTTTCCAGCCCTGTGAAGTTTTCTGTTTGAGTAAAAACCACTCTGAGGCTGACTGCAGCGGGCAACTATCTGTCAAAATTCTTCAGTCCTCGTCTGGAGTGATCTTGTTTCACAATGCAAGTATTTTAACCTTTGAACTTATTTGACCCTGATGATACTGCTAAAAATAAATTACAATTGTATTTGCTGTTGTTTAAAATATTTGCTCTGCCCCCTGAGTGTTCAGAGCAAACAATATGGGGCAATACCACTTTGGGGTCACTGGGCATCTGAGCCGTCTTGTGGGATTGATTATAAATTGGGGGAGACAAAAAAGAAAAGGCATTTTGGCTTGGATAGGTTTCTAAATACCACAGCTGTCACCCAAAAAAGGTTATGCAGTCTTCCAAGTTGTCAAAGCTGCTTAGAGGTAAGACAAGTTGATATTACATAGGAATAACACATTTGAGTGAGAGTCACAGTAATCAACTCAGAAGTGTAAAAGTTGATAGAATAGAACAAAAGATAGAATCTGATTTTTTTTTTTTTTTTTTCCCCTCTACCCAGAAGTATAGGAAGTATCTTCAGGCTCAGATCTAGAAATTAGCCAGTCTTCAGCTGCTCGTTTAAAGTGCAAATAACATCGATCCATCCTAGGCAGGAGTCTGTCTTCACTGTTATTAAGATGAGGTTGTGTTTCCTCTAGAGCCAGCATATCTGTGAAAATTAAATACGGCTTGTGTTATTCTAGAATGGAGAATTCACATGGAGTTTGCCTTCCGTGGTCTTTTAACTTTCATTCCCATTTCCACCTGTGGCTTCTAGATTTTTGGTTAGTCCCAGTACACATAAATTTATTTTTTTTCAAGGTCTGACCCTCTTAATGCTTGTTAGAGCTGATTCATCTCTTACAACCATCCCACCATCCACTCTAGTTTTAGAGCAGTCCTTTGCTATCTCAAGAATACCTGAAGATGTAGAGTTGTTTTCAAAATCATCCAATATGTCTTGCCTCTAAAGTCTGAAAGCTTTCCTATGCTTTAGACTGTCCAGAATAATGGAGAAGCCATTCAAAAATGCAGTATCATTAATGAGCATGGGCCTGAGGAGGAGCAGCTGGTCAAAATTCCTGGGGCTTGTGAAGCTTATGAAAGAGGTGATACAAAGATCTGCCTGAAAGTGGAATCAGTGGCTCAACAAATCCCTTCCAATTCTTATGTTAGCAAGGATTACTTCAGCTCTAAGTACTGCCACTGCAACGAAAAGCGCCTTACTGCTATGTCAAAGAGCCCAGAGCCCGCGTGGAGATATCGAATGATCACCCTGCCCAGTTGGTTCTGAGCCCGGGGCTTGTTCTGCTTGCAAGCCTGGATTGCCTCGGACAGGTGATTCCACACCCTGGAAAGAATGAAAATAACATTACTTGGCTAGCACAGCTGGGGAGACACCTTGTTTGTCTCCACCAAAGTGTGCGAGATGCTGACTTGTACCGTGTTCCCCGAAAGGCGGAGGCAGTGGTACGCCATCTCCTCTTAGCACATGCTGCTCGTTTGAGTGAGTTCTGAATCTGAAAGGTGAGCTCACCAGTTCAACGTACTTGGTATTGTTAAATCCGAGTATTTAGCTGCATTGATCTGGGTTTTTACTGAGAGAAGAAACGTATCTGACAACTGAGAAACTGAATAATATGATTTCCCCCAGCTTACATAGTATTGAAATACAGACCCAAGTTTTTCTAGTAGTGTTAAAGGGGCTGGAGTTTTATTTTCTGTATTGGATGTATATTTTAAAGCATTAATTTGCTGCAATGGACAGATGCAGACAGGTTGAGGTATGTCCTAAGCCAGTGGAACTATTGCCAGAGGTGCCTGAAAAGGGCCGAATCTGAAGCAGAACGAGTGAGCACCCCGTGTTGGGTCTCTGCAATACGATGCTGATGTAGGTCCAGGAACCGATCAGAAGTGAAAACACAATTCTTTCCAGGATACAAAATGTATTCCTTTAAGCCTGTTCTTCTGCTTGAAGTCTCTCTTCTTATTCTTAGAGTTAGTTGGGGCGGGGGGGGAAGTCACTGTAATGAACTGGCGTGTTATCAGCCTGTTTCTAACCCACTAGGAGTGCCTTGACAGGTACCGTTTGATTCGGATGAACGACAGGATCCCGGACCCCGGCGGCGGGCGTTATTGCCACGTCCAGCAGCAGCGTGTGGGAGAGCCTGGGGCTGCAGCCCCTGGCTGGGGGCAGGCTGCCTTCCCACGGCACCGGGGAGGCGTCCAGGCAGGAGGCAAAGCGAAACCATCCGGCCCAGGAGCCGTCTCCTCTTTACGTGCTTAACCGCATCTCTTTTACACGCTCGGACGAGGCTGTCGGCTTGGCTGCCGTCACCTGCAATGATGGGAGGAAAATCGTGAGCTAAAGCAGATGTGACAAGGGGTTGTTCTGAGCTGTACGGGCCCTGGTACAGCCCAAACCCCGCTTATGTTACCGGCGCTGCCTGGGGCACTGTTGGCTGAGGATGACTGTGCCTGCGGTCCCAGAAGCTGCCTGTTTTGAGCAGCTTGCCAGCAACTTGCTGACTTTTTGCCCCATTCCAGCAGCTCTGTTTCAGCCCAGCACGTTGAACCCAGCCTGAGCTGAATGCAACTTCTTCAACTTGGGTTTTCAATCTACTGCCAGAAAAAAAAAAAAAACAACCCTGCAAAAGAACAGTGACACAAGACAGCTAGCCTCTTCCTTCTTCCTCAAAAAATTTTCTACATCCTCACTTTTTGGGGAATATATGAATAAAACCATTTTGCCCCTCATACAGGGCATGTCCCAAAGTCTCAGTCTGTGAGATCCTGAAGATCTGCTTGTCTCCAAGATCAGGTCAACTTCTGCCTGGAAAGACACCTTGAAATAAGGATCTGATAAAAATGAGGATTTAAATACCTCGCCAGATCAGTTGCTGTGCCAAGAATTAAAGATGTGATCAGAAAGAATTTTATTCAACAGACAAATGCATTTACAGAAGTGACCTGCAGCAACTTTGAGATGAGACGAACCCATGCTGGTGGTGACTCGGTCACTTGTGTTCTGCTTTACCTTGAAGTAAAATACTTCATGGGGTAACCGTTCCCTAAGCCCCGGGGACTTGGACTTCAGTCCTGAACCTTCTCCGGGCTTCTGCAGGAGAAAAGCTGGAACAGATTCTTCAGCGTTACGCTCCTCGTGGTTTTAAATGAACCAGATGAAACTCCTTCCATGTTTTACAGCAGTCTCTGGTAATTTCCATTATTTATGAACACGTTTCCCTGAAAACTTTCTCTCCAGGGATAGGATGTGAAATACCCACTTAAACAATAGAGAAAAGGGACTTTCTAAACAAAATACTGAAATTGGCAATACACCAAGAACTCTACATGGACACAGCTGAACCAAAAATACATCTGAAGTGCTTTAAAGGTCGCTTGCCGTGGTGTTATGATGTAGGTAATGTATTTTTCAGGCAAAAAAAAATAATCTTATTTTTCCTTTTAAAGTACTGAGCTCTTTTTATTGTAAAACACTGTTTTCCCATACAATTTTCCAAAATAATCTTGAGGCATTTTTCCACAATTTGTCTTTTCAATCAATTCTGTTTTGTTTTTTTTTTTTTTATCTTGACAAGACAGATAATATATTTGGCTTGTTTTGTTATGAGACAGTGAAGATAAACTCATTTTCCATTTGAAAAAGGTACACAGTTCCAGCAGGCTCCATAAATCCAGACAGCTTTACCAGCAGGTATCTCCAGCCGAGCGACAGCAGAAACAAAGAGGCCATACACTGTTAGTGACTGTTCTGTCAACGCAGCCGTAACCATCGTCCTCCCCTCACTGACTTCGGTAACGAGTACCAATTCAATGCTGATCTTAATTACAGGTCCCGTTTAATTCCGGTTTGTATTTTATATTGGGGGAAACGAAATGAAGTACGAAATATTAAAGCAATTCTGTGTTTGCAGCAAAAGTACCATCCCCAAACCATCCTTTTCCTCAGTGAGGCAGCTTGGCAGGTACCTATAGATCTGCTAAAGGATCCAAGGGTGACAGGGAGCAGGTTTAGTTTCAAAAGTAACCACTTCAGGCTCCTCCTTCTACAAAGCTTTTTCTGCACATGTTTACTCATGTGAGCCTTACCACGGGCTTTTACAGAAAAATATTGTCTTGTTCAGCTGGATACACCTCACTATTAAAAACTATTCTTTTTAAATTGCTAAAGTCGTTAGGATGACTCATGGGTTTTTTCTGTGCTTAATAATTTTGCTTACTGGGGGCCAAGTTGCCTCATGCTTTGCGCAGGATCGAGCCTATGTTACAGACAGCGTAAGTCACGGGAGGTTTTTGCCAGATAGGAGGTGGTGTATTTTCTCCGGCCGGAGCCCGCGTTTGCTTTGCACGGTTACATGCAAGCAGCATTTGTTCAGTTCCTGCAGCAAATGGGACAACAAGACCTGCTTGTGCTTTTTGAGCCAAAAACACATAAATATTGTTACATTTGGAACTTAGAAGTGGAAGGGTGTAACAGGGAATGCATGCGATCCATCTGAATGCTGCGATACAGAAACGCTGCTTACCCTGTGGAATAAATAGCCCAGGATGTTCATAAAACTATTCTATCATCTGATGAACCTGAAATGAAAGGGATGCGGCAAGTCTGCGAGCTTGGATAACGTGCTCAGAACGCAAAAAATGTTGCAGACTACAAACCCACAAAAGAAGTTTTAACAACAGACCTTGCAAAAATGTGCCGTGTTGCAAAAGCGGAAAATCCCAACGCAGTGTTTGATAGAAATATAATCTAATACTGTATACAACTTTGAAGAGAAACGATTTAACAGAAGATTTTGAAGGAAGAGAGAAAGAAAAAGGTCAGAATTTATCATTAAAATGTGATGTATGAAAACTCAAGTAAACATGTTGTTCAGAACACTCACCCTTACTAGAAATAGTGTTACAGAGAACGCCCCCAGCCGAATCGTAGCAGATATATATCTATTTTTAAAGGAAACACAGAAAGCCCTCATGAAATTGTGTAGAGATTAAAATAATGAGACAATCTATATAAACAACTGATTTGTTCAGAAATGGAAGCTGGAAGAAGGGTAAAGTTACAGTAACTTCCACCGCCCCGTGTTGGAGAAGGAGATTCTTCCAGCTCCTTTCGGCTAGAAAGGCAATGGTCAAATTCCAACCCCGGCTGTGTCCGAGGGAGGCCCAGACCAAGGACCCGTGAGCCGATCCCCTGCAGCCCGTGCAGTCACTGCAGGCCTCTCCCCTGGAATCGCAGTCAGAATTTGGCAGTAAAACAAGAGTTTCTGATGACACAGCAAAACCCAACTTCTTTGGGCTTTTTTTTTTAAAGCTGTTTCTGGCCCCAAAAAAAAAAAAGTAGTGAAGCAATCAGTAATTCATTAGAGGATGGCAAAACGTGAGTGAGAAAAAGAGCAAGGGCATAAAACTTTATGAGGAGAGAGGTTTTTGCTGACGATACAGGTAGAGATACATAAGGAGAAGTATGCAGGTAACAGATAAGAGGGTGCACACAGCCCAAGGTGAGAGGCCGCAATGACAGCGGGCAAGGAGAGCCGGTGCCCGAGCGGCTCCGGGAGCACGAACGCGGGGAGCAGAGGCCGGCGGGCCGCTGCCGGGGAAGGGCGGGAGGGGGTGGTTTTGCGTGGAAGGGCGGGAGAGGGTGGTTTTGTGTGGAAGGGAAGGGCAGGAGGGGATGGTTTTGCGTTCCGCGGCCGGGTACCGCCGTGCACAGCACCGCAACGCCGGGGGGCCGATGCTGAGGCGGTGCGGGGGTCTCCTTCACAACGCGCTTCTGGCGCAGCCTGGCTCCCGCGGGTGGACGGGGGTCCCCGCGGGTGGAAGGGCGGGCCCCGGGCTCGCTCCCCGACCCGTGAAGGCCTGGCGTTGAGGCCACGGACGCTGCCTCGGGAAGCAAACCCCGAGCTGCCCGGCAGCGGGTGGTACAGCGGCACACGGGGAGGGGGCCGCTGCCCCCCGGGGCTGCCGTGCTCTAGGCCCGTGCCCGGGCTGCGAGCGGCG